ATAAACGACGAGTTTGATGTGGTCTCGGACAATGTAAATAAGATCAAGCGGAAAGAATCTTCAGGTAGTAAGTGCTATCTATCTTGATTGTGTAGATGGCAGGACTAAGCCTAATAGTCCACCAAACTAACTGCGATATGTCTCATCAAGGGTGAACTATTCGTGGGACCAATCCTATCCAAGGAAGGGAGTGCATTCGTGCTATTATTATTATTCGTGCTACTGGGGTGGGGGAGTTGTGGGGGAGGGGGGGAGGGAAGTGGGGAGAGAGAGGGGTAATTACCGACTGGCTCCCAAATATGTCGTCACGTTATCTGGTATATGGTCTGCTCCGGGGTCGTATGCTATCCTATCCTGGGTGGATGAGACTAAAACCTTTGAACTTTGGCTTCCTTATCAGAATCGCCCTAAGAAAGGTCCTGTTAAAGAAAGCTGTATGCGTGTCCGGCTGTTTCAAAAGTGTGCTGAAAGTAAGGAAACCTCGACGTTGAGAACAAATTTGTAGGATTTTTTTCATTCACATACTCAGGGCCCTGGTCTTACCCACCTTGATTGGGGAACTTAATGCGATTGAACCTTCTTAATCTAATGAAAGCTGAAAAAGAGCCTTGAAAAAGTAAAAGCCCTACAAGTCAGAGAGAATGTCACAGTTGAAGTTACATCTTGCTTGTTATTGATTTATTGATTGGTTCGTTCTAGCAGCGAGATATCTCGAAAATGTACGACAAAGAGGCGCCTCAAATACAAATTTCTCTTCAAGTAAGTGTTAATTTCCTCATCAAAACAAAATCTCATCGCATAGTCTGTCAAGCAAAATTTGATCGATTATCCAGGCCAATTTTTCTTTGGTAATTTCCAATTGCTTTTAAAGATCCAAATGGTTGCACTGCAATGGCTGGTGGCAAACGAGGAAGCATTTTCACCAACATACATCGACAAAAATGTTTTGGAACGACTTATTCGAACTAGCGCCAGAAGGGTGAGTCCAGCGACATAGGCTGTACTTTCAAAGCAGTTGAGCAGTGCATGGCGTATGCTCTCCTTCTCTCCATCTTATCTTACCCCTGGAAAAGGTATCTGTTCGAGATGAAATTGCGCAGCAGTTGGTCTGCGCGGGATCGCCCCTCTTTTTATCTTTGATGAATTTGCAAAATAACCCTCCGAGTTACGGGCTACAGGAGCGTCGGCAGCACGTAGTGCACGCCTCCTATTTGTGATTGGCTGGGGCTCGCTCGTGCGCGCAGCCAATCACGGACAAGCGGGCGTGTCGGTATTGTATGCTGTGGACGCTTTTTGCAGTCCGTAGCTCGTAGGATCCTCCTGGTAACATAAATGATATGAATCTTTTCCTAACCTTTTGAATTGCCTATCATGGCTGAAAGTCGCTGCATCAGCGGATGCGTCATGGACTAGGAGCTCGAATAAGGAAGAAAGGACACACACCTGAGAATGAATCCGGAATTTTTTTCTGTTCCAGGTCGATATTTCTGCTCTGATGGCGATGTCTAACAGTGCGGTGAACGTGCCAAAAGTTGCAAAACTCTACACGAAAGACGAGATGAGCGATCGTTTCATACTGATTCTGGAGGGCCGCGTCCAGGTGACGATTGGCCAAAGTGGCATGATGTTCGAAGCCGGTCCATGGCACTGTTTCGGCAGGTGGAAAATTGAATGGAAACTCGTCCAAGGATGGAGCCGCAACCCTCCAGTTCGCAGGCACTCAATTCGTTGCGTGAAGTGACGGCTTACAAGCGTGAGCTACGGTTAGTGTGTACGGGCGGTTTGACAAATTGCACTTGCACAGATACAACGGATCTGTCATGTCGTCGCCCAGATCTGATGTTCAAACCAGATTATTCTGTGGTCATCAAGAGGATTGTACATACTTGGATGTGAATGTCGCCGCCTATATAAATGCTTTCAAATCAACGTTAATGCAACGGGAGAAAGGGTGAGTCCACATAGTGGTCGTCTTGGGTTTTACTCGGCAGAGTTCACCTGTGATAAAGCACTTCTCTATCTGTTCCCCAATGCAGCCAGGTAAGACAAATGGCTGATTAACTTTGTATTACTAGACAGGCTTTGGATTGTGAATTTCATCAAGGAGTTACGCTGAATGTGTCGGTACCATGGTGTAGAACCAGTTTTCGACCACCTTATGAACCGATATTTTCAGATGTCTTTTTTCTTACTTCGTAAATGGTAACTTTCATTGAATGGACCATTTTTATCTACAAAAATCGCCAAGCAAGAGGCAAGGGCGGCAAGAAGCTAAAAACGAATGTATTAGTGTGCTTGGCGGGTGACCTTTCTAACTCAGTCCCTACGCGGGATGAGGGAGGGGGGGGGGCTGGGGCGAAGAAGTCATTCTCTCTCAACTTTTAGAACTGAATAAGTTACAGACTGCTCTGTTCGAACCACAGTCTCCCAACTGTTAATTGAAGAGCAGATATCCATTATTCAAAAATTAATCCATGGGAATATTTTGTGCAGAGTGTTGAGCTCAACGAGGGTCCGAAAGGGCCTTTGCCGACCTTTACGACGTTATCTGAAAAACTGGTCGAAAGGGGTGTTGCATATTTAGAGCGACTGGCTTTGGGAAAGCTGTTCATTTGTAACGATTGAAAGGGTCGTGAGTGATATTGATGTTGCTTATATCTGATGCATTACGGTGGGCCCTCTCGAGTTCGACGGCGATGACGTCATATTCTGAGAACTGTGAGAGTAGTGAGGGACGGCCTGCTTCTGCTTATTAGGGTACATCTAAGGGAGGTTTTTTTTGCAAACGTTCCACCAACAGAGACCCCTGCGTGACTTTGAACCTCGCTGTATGGTGCCGCCGTGGACACCCCCCCCCCCCCCATCCCAACTGCATACGAAGCGATGCAGAGCTACATGATGGACAGGGTTATGCTAGCAAAGGTGAAAGAATTAGTGAATTGTAACAATCGAATCGGAAGGTCCACCCAAAGTGATTGATTCTGGCTAGATTTATTGTTGGATAGATAAATCGACCCATTGAATCCAATGTTTTCAGCCGCGATGATGTATCTTATGACGGCCACTGTTCCTCGCGATCACCATCACCAACACGGCGGAAAGACACATTACCAACACGGAAAGAGGTAAAGCTCATAAACATTTTTCTGTTTTTTTTTGAATAATTTTTAGGCCTTTGTTTCGGAGAAGTAGTATTGGGTTGTCCAGAAAATCCTGCGACACTTTGAACAAATAACTTTAGGGAAAATCAAAACCCTTTTCAGTTGTTTTGGCATTTGATTACTGTAGTGTGTCTTCGAAGGTTCCAGCAGAAGCGTACATGAAGGCTTCAAGCAACGTTTTACAGCTCCAAACTTCTCTCTGAACTGAGCCATCTTTTGACATACTTTATTTCTCGAGCTCCTATGAAGCCACTCTGCTTGCATGCGTTGCAGCTAGCATCTGTGCTGTATTCAGGAGGTGACTCGTTCAGCAGGCCATAGTGTCCCGTTGTCCCTAAGGCTTCGCATCCGGAGATATTTGACTCAAAGTAAAGCACTGCTCTGGTCGGCTGTAGGTGGTGAATGGTGAGCATTTGCTCAACTTCCCAGAGGCGCAGCCGATTGCTACCAGTCGTGAGTTAGCAACAACGCTGAGGTGCACTAACTGACAGTTATCGAGATCCCTACGTTCTTGGTTACAGGGCAGCATGTTCGCAATGGGTACCACATGGGTTGCGCCAGTCTGGGGAGGCGAAGTGTGTGACCATGGTAGAGATTTCTCTTCTTTCTTCGCACCAAAGGAATCTCTTGACAAAAATGAAGATTAAGGAAGATAGCTCAAGCTTTGAGGAAACTGTACACATGAGCTCTATTGGATTCGACTGAGAGTGAAGCTGCCTGCAGGAACCTTCGTAGAGAAGGGTTTTTGTGAGGTTGCAATTTGATTCTTCACAGAAAGCTGCTGGATACCTGCACCGCGGTGATGACCATTGTCGGCTCTAACTACCTCTGAAATTTGGCCGAAGCCATGCGTAAAGTTCACCCAGAAATGCACAACATTGTGTTACCCACCCCCACGCATATCTACATGTGACAAAGGATTACATATCAAAAGATCATGGATTTTGATTGGGAAATTTCGCAGTACTTGGCTTACTCGCCGGGCTTAGCCGCTTCTAATTATCGGATAATTAGTGCCCTGAAGCGTCATCTAGAAATAAAAAATCCGATGACTGAGGTCAACTCGAAAATGGGATCGATCGCTTCTTTTCAAAGCAAACGCCGGAATCCTAAAGTAAGAGAGTTGAGAAGCTGCCGGGAAAAGTGTACGTCTCCTATATGGTAATGGTGATAATTTGCTGATTGAATATTTCATTCAACAAAAGAAGGTGCAATCAAAAATCTTGGACAAAGTGTCGCAGGATTTTCTGGACAACCCAATGGTTGTCCCACTTCTAATAAGTAATGCAGTTTTCTTGGAGAATAGATTCAACACTGTGCTGTAAAAGCTCATTCTCTAAGTAGTGGTAGAATCATATTTTGAAGGGAAACTAATTTTGTGGAGGTCATTGCCACCTTGTTTTTCGTATATTTTGTAATTATTGCACCACTGGGCGGAAGGATGTAGTGAAAGTGGCGCGCTTACCACAGCGCGATTCGGGGGCAAAATCTTGGATTGTGCGCCGCTGAGGTCTACCAAACCTCTCATTCTTTACTTAGGCGTCTGCGGTGTACTTCAGTTCTCCTCAGGTCACCTAAAATTAGGACATTTTTGATTTGCTCGTAACAGGCCTGAGACTGCGCCTAAGCCCTATCATGGGTTTGTACATAAGCTAATGTGTGAGCAAAAGCCTAGGCGGAAGCCTAACCATGAGCTTCAATGACCTGCGCAGCTCTGGTGATCTGACCTAGAAGGGGGATGGAACGTTAATTGGCATCAACTAGTTTCGGATATAAACACTGAGTTGCCAAGCGGCTGACTCCCGTTCGCATTGTATAGGCCACGTCGCATCCAAATGTCATAACGACCCAAAATGGATGTAGAATGCGTGGCAC